CTCATGTTCGAAGCGTGGTGGCTATGGTTCGAGAGACAGTCGTGAACTACTTGGTACTTGAAGGCCCCCACATACGACACTTGAAAGGAAAAGAGATGTCAATTTCTCCTTAATTATTTTATCTACGCCCATACACATTTATTAATGCTGTCACATATTGGTATTCCTTAGAAGCTGACAATTACGGAATAGTTTAGATCAGTGGCTCACAGCAAGAAGTTTCGACTGCCAGAGGACATTGGGCAATGGCTAGTGACATTTTTAGATGTCACCACTGAGGGGTGTTATTGGTATTTGGTAGGTAGAGGCCAGGGATGCTGTTAAATATCGTGCAGTGCACAGGACAGCCCCCACCACAAAGAATGATCTGTCCAGAATGTATTCAATAGTGTCAAGGTTGAGAAACCTTGGTTTAGGTCAGAATGCCAGTAAGTCAGCTACTGCTTAACTCTGACACGTCTTTAGCAGACAGGGATAGGAATCTCAAAGACTCACACAGCTGTCAAAGTGAACAGCAGACCAGGAGCTAGATACACTTTTCCTAGTGTAGATTAAAACAGGGACGGAAAGGGAGGAAACCCTGTGAATAAACATAATACAAAAAGAAATGTTTTTTCATTATAGCACTATTGGGTAAATTTCAAGGTCATCAAAACCATGTTTGGTTTCCCCAAAGCCTCTGCCAGTTTTAATTGCCTTGGGCCTTTTTCTCTTGCAGTTCTGAACCAGCCTGGGGGCCCCAAAACCCAGCTGTTTATGAATGGCGCCTGCTCCCCATCCTTGCTGCCCACCCTGCCAGCCCCGATGCCCTTCTCTCTCCCAGTTACTCCTGACTACGGGTGAGCTGCTCTTTCAAAGCACTTCTTCATTCATTGTAGGCTGCTCTTTCCCTTGGTTTCCAAAATTAGCTTTTCACAGAAATGAATGACAGTGTAGAGATTTTTTTTTTCTTTCATTTTTAAGGTGGAACTTCACTAATACGACTTCCTATTTTGGTCTAATATGGAAATCACTTTAAAAATAAGAATTATAGGGCCAGCCGAGTGGCGCGATGGTTGAGGACTGGCTTGGGACGCTAGAGGGCCCTGGTTCGGATCCCACATGTGGGGGCCGGTGACACTGCCCTCCGCAGCTGAGATGCTGAACAACAGCTCAACCTGGAGCTGGGCTGCCCTGAGTCACCGGCGACGGCGTGGGCCTGCAGCCCCTGTGGCAGTGGGTTGCCATGGGCTGCCGTGTGTGGCCAGCAGCCAGCGTGAGCGGCTAGCGGCCGCAGTGAGCGGCCATCCAGAGGCCGGCGACTGGTCTGCCTCTCCTGGGAGGAGCGCGGTGGTGGTGCCAACTTGGGCCAGTGGGGCAATGTCCTCCACAACTAGACTGAAGACAAAAAAAAAAAAAAAAAAAAGACAGCAACTTGTCTGTTCCCCTTCCCCAATTCCCCAGCGCTGTTCCCATCTGCCCAATTCCCCAATAAAAATCTTAATAAAAATAAAAATAAGAATTATAAAACTATATAACATTTAAATATGTATGTTATGTTTATGTGTGCATATATGTATGTAGAAATAAAACATGAAGAAAAATTTAAATTTCTTAGGATACCACCTAGAGATCACCAGTTAAATCTTTAAGGTGTTGCACTTTATAAAGTCGTGTGTGTGTGTGTGCATGTGTATACATATACTACTATGCATATGTATACATATGCATACACTCATAGAGAGGACATCTTACCAGTATTTCTGTATTTTTTTTTTTAAAGATTTTTTTTTAATTGGGGAATTGGGGGATGGGAACAGCGCTGGAGAATTGGGGGAAGGGGAACAGACAAGTTGCTGTCGTTTTTTTGTTCTTCAGTCTAGTTGTGGAGGACGTTGCTTCACTGGCCCAAGTTGGCACCATCATTGCGCTCTTCCCGGGTGAGGCAGATCAGTCGNTGCTTCACTGGCCCAAGTTGGCACCATCATTGCGCTCTTCCCGGGTGAGGCAGATCAGTCGCCGGCTTCTGGACGGCCGCTCACAGCGGCTGCCGGCCACTCACGCTGGCTGCTGGCTACACACGGTAGCCCATGGCAACCCACTGCAGCAGGGGCTGCAGTCTACGCTGTCGCCGGCGACTCATGGCAGCCCAGCTCCAGGTTGAGCTGTTGTTCAGCATCTTAGCTGTGGAGGACAGTGTCACTGGCCCTCATATATGGGATCCGAACCGGGGCCCTCTGGCGTCCCAAGCCAGCTCTTAACCATGATGCCCCTCGGCCGGCCCAGTATTTCTGTATTTTGATGGTTGTGTACTATCCAGTTGTATGGATGTACCATTGTATCAGTCCCAAATTGTTGACCATCTAGGATTTTCCTTTTTTTTTTTTTTTTCCTATAAGCCTTCTTTGTTGTATTTGTAAACCACTGGCATTTGTTCCTACCATTCAGCTCTTCCACGTACCTCTTCCGGCTGATGGCAGTGGTCGTCCACCACGGAGACATGCACTCTGGACACTTCGTGACTTACCGACGGTCCCCACCTTCAGCCAAGAACCCTCTTTCCACCAGCAACCAGTGGCTGTGGATTTCCGATGACACTGTCCGCAAGGCTAGCCTACAGGAGGTCCTGTCCTCCAGCGCTTACCTGCTGTTCTACGAGCGTGTTCTTTCTAAGATGCAGCACCAGAGTCGGGAGTACAAGTCTGAAGAATGACTCTGACCTGGCCCCAAAGTCAGAGCTGATGGCACTGTCTAAACTGTCCGGGAAAAAGGCAAAATCAGACCACGTGTGTGTACGCGCGCGTGTGCACAGTCAGCCCCACTGTAGTCCTTCAGCCTCCTGGTGTGTTCTGAGAGCAGGCTCCAGCTGGGAGCCAGTGGCCCCCATTCAAACCAAATCAGGCCCCCTGAACAGCTCTGCTAGTCTGCACTGGAAGGTGGTGGCGTTTCAGGAAAGCACTCATTATGTCTAGAGTGTCTTTTTACTCACCTGATACAGGTAATTAACTCAGACTCTGGAAGCCACCTTTTTTATATTCTGATATGTTAGGTGTTCTCAGAGGGGACTTAACTTTGCCTGATCCTCTGATGTTTCAACATAGATCTTTTATTTTTCATAAAGCAGGCCCATAAAATTGTTGACAAGAACTAGTGAAATTATTAAAGGCAACAATTTAGAAGAAAAAGTGCCTTTCACTTTCGATTGCTTTTGTAGCACGTCCATTCTGGAAGACATACATTCTCTAAGTCATAGAAACAATTTCTGAAAAGCCCTCTTCCTCCCAAGTTTCTCAATGAACAGCAAAAGAACAGTTAAAAGATGCCTAAAGAACACACGCCTTCCCTTTTGTATGTCTTTTTCTAATCCTTCAATCCTTTATATACAGTAAAAGCTCATCTGCCAAATCTGCCCCTCGGGGAAATTCTTTCACTGCTTTGTCAATTCTAAGTGAAACTCTTGTTGCTTTTATCTTTTGTATACTGGACTGAGATGTGGTTACAGCGTGTGAATTATAAGCCCGTGTGAATGACCAGAATTGAGCAGTACCTGTGCAAATCTGTGATTCCTCTGCTCTGTGAAAAACCCTTTCTTACACAAAGATCCATTTTAAACGGGCGATTATTCTCATCTGTTTATTTATTGTCCATGCAGAGCTCTTCAGGTTTACAGGTGGGGCCAGGGACTGCTTAAGAAGACACGCCCCGCCTTGTTTTGAGAGCTGGATTCAGCAGGAAGGGTCTTGAGTGTGGGGCTGCAGTCTCTCTGGACCTGTTTCCTCATTTGTAAAGTGAAGGGTTAGCTTTGATCATCATCAAAGTCCTGCCCTTTCCACGAAAAGAAGTTTAAATTTTAAACATATAACAGCTGACACCTAGTATTGTCATTTGGTTAAAGGTCCATGTTCCAAATGTATTCGTTTCCAGTAGCCTAATACAAAATGATTATAGTGAGCATCCTCTTCGCTCTTCAGGTAAGTCTGAATGCAGCCCAGGGCCGAAGGTATCTGATGACACAGGAGTATCTATGTTTTAGCCAGATTTTTTAATTAAAAAAAAAAAACAAATTCAAACAGACTCTTCAGAGATAAGATCTGGAATCAGACTGATCCAAAGACCACCTGAAGTAAGACTAAGAGCCATACTGTCTCTGGTGGGGGTGAGCTGGCATCAGCTAAAAGCACAGGAGGCCCAGGTGATCACCATTCTGCCGGGCCCAGCGTGCCCCGAGGACTCATCAACTCTCACTACCGATAACACATACTGTGAAGGTTCTCCAGGCCACGCACGCCAGGGCGAAGAGCCGTTTGAAGCCTCTGATGTGTTCATCGCTGCCGTCCCTTCGTGACTCCATTGCAGACCCTGGGTTTGATGTGGAAACGAGTATGCCCATTTTACCTGAGTCTGGTGGAACAAATGCCCAAGTGTGTGACCTTAAACTGCCCTGCAAAGTTGTAGCTTTCAGTAACTGCTGCTCTGCCACACTGCTCTTTGAAATCTGCCATTAAAGAGATGTCAGGCACAAAAGGGGCTAATCCTTGGAATGTTTCGTCGTAAGCAGATGCTTGGTCAGAGGCCAGGGTTTGAGCCAAGGTTGTAAATGTGAATGATATATGTGCGAAGTCTCCTACCTGACTTAAAGCTGACTTCCTCATTTTGTAAATTATTAGGCATTACGTAGCAGAATAATCTTATTTCTAGTTTTAAGTTATTTACAAAATAGCTTCTTTTTGCAAAAACCTAAGTTAAACGAGTAGTTTATGCCATGACTGCTGATTTATGTACTTGCTAAAGATACCTTTTGTATCTGCTGTGTATTATAGCAATAAAAGAATCATTTTGTTAGAAAAAAAATCAACTGGTATTCTTTCATAATTTACCTATTTGATACAAACATCCTCTTTCTGAATTCTGCATTGTTATATAATAAACCCTACAGTTGGGTTAAACCTTTTTTTTCCTTGTTGGTAAAGGAAATACCAGCTCCCTCTTCAAGTAGAGAGGAAAGGAGAAAATGAAAGTAGTACTTGAAAAATATTTTTACTTTTTAGTAGGCAGAATTTTACGAAATGTCAGGTTGACCCGTGGAGCCAAAACCTTCTTGCGGACAGGGAGACTGTGATACCAATGAGTGTTGGTCGGGTGGTTCATCATAAGTAAACTTCCGTGGGCCAGTGGCAGCCTGACCGCCTCCACCCTCCGGGAGGGGTTTTTCCCTCGAGAATCCTTATGCCGGAAGAAGAAGTCTCTGCAGGCCCCAAAGGAGACGGAGGCGATGGGGCTCCCAGGAGCCAGTTCTCTTTCGTCATCTCGGTGCTCACCAATGTGGTCACACCCATCTTTATACCTGCAGGGAGAAAGCAAGCACAGTTCATAGAATAGCCGTCTCCTGGAATGTGCCAACACTGCATCGTTTTCTCAGTGTGAAATGCTGCTCCAAGCATGCCAGGTTTCTGCAAGGGCTGCAGGGCCTTACCTGGGTCTACAGGGGAGCCAAGCCTGCAGCCTTTTCACTTTGTTATCCAGTCCTATTCGATGACCTGCTTTAAATCTCAACTCACCAACAGAGGCCAAAAACGTGTCTTCTAGTTCTGGTTCATATATAGTAAGCCTTTATCATAAAATGTTTCTCCCTACACCTAGGATAAAATCCATCTTCCTTGCACAGTGTGGCCCCTGCCTACCTCAGCTCCTTCCATACCCTCACTCACTGCACTTTTAGGCGGTAATGGTGGGATAGACACTCCAAGATCCCTCTGCTCTTCCTCCAGATGGCTGTGTGGCTCATGGTCTCTCCTCCGCACCATTCAGTTATCAGCTCAGATGTCACCGCCTCCACGAGCCCTCCTGTAACCACCATCCTCTAAACCCAGAGTTGACTACCAGGGTGATTCTGCCCCCCAGGGGACCAGGCGATGTCTGGAGACATTCTGGTTGCTATGACTGGGGATGGGGGTGCTACTGGAATCTAGCGGATGGAGGCCAGAGATGCTGTCCCTTGTCCTACAGTGCCCAGGATGGCCCCTGCCACAGAATTATCTGGCCCCAAACATCAGTAGTACTGCTGTTCAGCAGCCTCGCCCTAAACTCAGGTCCCTTCCTCCCCCTAAACCCAGGCCCCTTCCTCCCAGCCATTCTTGGGCAAATCAGCAACGTCTGAAGCTATCTTGTTCAATTGTTCATCCGCGAGTCACCTCACTTCCCACTGTGACGTGAGCCCCATGAGGACTGCTCATGCTGTTCCTCCACGACATCCAAACTTCCTAAACTTCCTTTTGGAAGAGGTGGGAGATTGATAAAATTCAGTGCAGTGGCCTTAAAAAAAAAAAAAAAGTAAAAAAGCAAGTAGGGTGTCACCTGTTGACGAGCACAAAGTTGAAGGTCTGTCCAGTCACCAAAGAAACACGATCCCGGACTCGCTCTAGAACTGGGATCCAGGGCTTTGGAGACAGAGTGAGGCCTGAAAACGTGTAGGTCAGCCCAGCATCGCCATATGTCGCCTGCTTCCTTGGTACGCTGTGCCACTTCCCAAACACCTGCACCCTGGCCAGTGCACCTGGGCAGGTGAAAACATGGCAGTTCAGAAAAGCAGGCGGGTGAGTGCCCCGCACACTTGCTCCCTGAGTCTTCAGGATTGAAAGGAAAGTAAAACAGGAATAACATTTAATGCCCTGACGAAGACCCCTCCTCAAAGTCATTGTAGTTTGCCCCAAACATTCATGTAAGAACAGGGACTCTCGTCCTACACTTAGAGAAACATGGTCCTAGCCCAATTTTTTTAAACACCATAACTAAATTGCCGTAACTCCAGTAGGAGCAGAATACAGAGGCTGAAATGCAAATAAGATGCAGTTAGGTTACACACGAGGGTGATCTTGCCAACTATTGGGGACTAAGGGTGTAGGGCCCCATGAAAGATGGGGCTAACACAGCTTAGTCTGTAGGTTGGGGTCTCCTGGGGGCTTTTCTACGCTCCCAGGTGCTCTGCCACCTTACACCAGTTCTCACTGTGTGGGCCCCAGACCAGCAGCACTCGCATGACCTGAAAATTCAGACACTAGACTGCGGGCGGGGCAGGTCCCAGCAAGCACCAAAGTCCTCCAGGTGGTGCTGAGAACGTGGTGCACAATTACCTAGTTATTCGCTGTCTCTCCTACTAGACCGGTGGTTCTCAGCCCTGGCTGCACGTTAGAATCACCTGGAAGCTTTTTAAAAGAACTTATGCCCAGGCTGCACCCCCAGATATTCTGATCCAACTGGCCTCAGGTAGAACCCAGCATCTTTTCCCCCTTTTTTCGCTTTCTCACATGATTCTCATAAACAGCTAAGTGGAGATTCACTTAAGTCATCTGTCAGCTCCTGGTGGGCAGGCAATCCTGCTTTTCTCAAATTAGTATCCGGTTTCTCACTAGGGTCTTGGCCCCCAGGGGTCCAGAGAATATGTGGTGAATCAATTAACGAACTCATCAGTAATTAATGGCTCCTGAGTTCCGATGTCTCTACACATAGTTTTATCAAACTAGCCTTCAGCACAGAACCTGCAGTCCTCTGCTTACCTGTAAAATATTCCACTTCTTGCTCCAGCTCTCGTAAAATCTCGTCTGCTTCAGCTTTGCCAAATAGGACTGTGTAATCGCAGTCCAGGCCCTCAGCTCGAATGCGTTGCCAGCTGGGGCCTGCCAAATCAACCCCATTCCTTGGGGTTTCTCTCCTGGGCCTTTTCCTGATGCTTTCCTCATTTTCTCCCAGCTCTGCTGGACCTCCTCCTGTCTGCTCTTGCCCTCTCTTTCCCAAAAGGCCCCCTAGAACCCCCTTCACCAAGAATCTGTCCATCCTGTCTTCCCAAAGCAAGTGAAGGGAGCCAGTGGCTAGGCAGAGAGGTTGCCCAGGGTCTGTCCCAGATGTAAATATTTGCTTGGTGGCAAAGTGACCCCCACAGCAGCATTCCTCTTCACACCATGTCCTAAAAGGAAGTAGAGGACATTAAAGCTGAAAGGGTCCCTTGGGATAGCCTTGGTTCCCCACCCTGGCTAAGCATTAGAATCACCTGACTAGCTTGCAAAAACCCAAATGCTTGCACTCCACCCCCAAGCACCTGACTTTTTAAAGACACCCCCACCCCCTGCAATTCGCAGGCCACAGGTAAATTTGGAAAATATACAGTCCAAACCTTTACTTTACAGATGGGAAAACTGACACCCAGAGAAGGGAAAGGGTTTGCCCAAAGTCACCCAGAAAAGCAACCTATCTCCTTTTCACCCATACATGACCGGCCGGCACACATTAGTATTAAAATAGGTAAATATAGTAATTCTCAAATAGATGTTTCTGAATCTAAATGTAAAACAGTTAAACGTGATCATACGCACGCACGCACGCCGAATTTTGATAGAAAATAAGAACTGTAATATGTGCGCAGGGTGAGGGTAGCGAGGGTTCACCTCAAAATCTCAGACAACCCCCGCGCAGCTCCGAATCCTGCAAACACTGTAGAAAGTGCTGTCGGGAAAGAGAAGATACGTACCCGGACCGCACTTCCGGGTAATTTCAGCTGCAAGCTGGGAAGGAAATGCTGGCAAATCTGCAAAACAGAGCAATGGGCGGGCTCTGGGCGCCACCTGTTGGCCTTCTGGGCGCGTCGCAAGCACTACCCTGTTTGAGTGTAACTAGTGCATTTGCTCTGCAACTGTTGAGGGTCATCTGTGGTTTGCCGATTGTTGTTCCATGTCACCTCTGTCAGGGGATTAACCTGGCGTCCTGACAGGGAGCTGGGCCATCAGCATATTGTCGCAGGTAGGAGCACGAGTTCAGCCGACCAACGCGAGGTTTCCATTTCTGCCTCCTCCACTCTAGCTTTGCGGCTCCTAGGGGTCATTTAGAGTCTCTGGGCTTGAATTGCCTCACCTGAACAGTGGGGACTATAAAACCTAAGCCAGAAGAGAGCACCATGAGCATTAATGGAGAGGACACGTGAGAAGTGCTTCCGTGTTCCAAAAAAAATGTCAGGGTCTGTTACTGCTCCTAATTTTGTTTACTCTGCCTTCCCCCAGAGAATGAAAGCTCTGTGAGGTTAGGGGTTTTGTTTTGATTAAGTGTACACAGTTGTGTGACCACCACCACAATCTAGATCCAGAACAGTTCTATCGCCCGACAAAATTTCCCCCAAGTCCCCAACCACTCGTGTTTTCTGTCCCTGAAAAGTTTTCTTTTCCAGAATTTCTTATAAATGACCTCATACAATAGATAGCCTTTCGTCTGGCCTCTTTCACTTAGCATAATGCTTTTAAGATGGATCCTTGTTTGCATCAGTTCCTTTTGAGTAGTATCAGTTCCTGCTGAGTAGTATCTGTTAAGATAGGGGATTGTAATGGTGGCACTAAATCTTCTATTTTTGAGATTTGGACCTCTGGTATAATTCAAATTAATGAGTGTAATTTAGCTTGGGACTTTTTGAAAGCTTTCTTTTCTATGCCTCTCAAAGATTCTGCTTCCTATACATTTACTCTGCAGTTTTAATGCTTCTGTTACTAGGCCCAGTGCTAGCCCTGTGACTTGAGAGAGGTTTTGCATCTGTATGGGACTAGCTCTCTCCTGGCTCCAACTTAAATCTACATAACGTATGCAAAAGTTATGATAAGCAGCTTTACTGTACCTTCTCCCACCCCCAACTACAGGAAAATATAAAACTTGAGACCAAACAAAGACTCCACACTAGTTTGCAATAGTTTCCAGCAGACTCTGCTCAGCCGACTCTTCTCTTACTTTAATAAACCTTGTATATTTCTAGCTGACTGTGAGTTCTTTCACGACCCGCGAGTGAGCAGCCACAACAGTATCCACTGTTGGAGTGCCCCAATTTGTTTACTGACTTACCCGTTGAGGGACATTTGGGTTGTTTCCAGTTTGGGGAAATTACAAATAAACTCACTATATTCTATTCCTGCAGACGCTTTTGTGTAAATATAGATTTAAATTTAACTTGGGTAAATACCTCGGAGTGGGATTCCAGGAGCACCTGGTAAGTGTATGTTTCACTTTATACTAAACTGCTCAACTGTTTTTTCAAGGGCAAATTATTTTAAATGATAAGCTTCTCTCCTTATCCATACGCTCCTTGTCCTAGTAGGCATTAAGACACAACAGTAACAATATAGATCAAGTCCCTGCCTTCCATCATCCAGGTTACATTTTGGAGATGGAGACAGAAATAAACAAGGAAAGAGTAAATAAGGTAACTTTAGATAGTATAGAAGCTGTGACTGGCTAGAAAGGGGAGCAGGAAGAGAAAGCCTTTCAGAGGAATTGTCCGGAGCTGAGACGTGAAGCCTCAATGTAGAGGCCACATGAGGGACAAGCTGCTTAGTCCAGTGAATGCTGCGACCCAGATTCAGTCATGGCACCCCAGTAGGGGCGTCCCTCAGAGAGGGAAGCAGCCTTGCCAGCAGGGTAAGGAGCTGGGATTTTATTTTAAGCATATGTGGAAACTATAGGATTTTAACCTGGGGATTATCATGATGTAATTTACATTTCAAAAGGATCACTTGGTAGGAAAGAGACCAGCTGGGATGGTAGCCGGAAGATGGACAACAGCCGCTGAATTCAGGCCTTATTTTGGAGACAGAACCAAGAAGACCTGTTGATGGTTTGGATGTGGGGAGGGGAGGAGGGAGAAGAATCTCAGGTGTTTTGGGATTGAGGGGTGCGGTGGTGCCTTTGGGAGGATGACTAGTTTGGAGTTTCCCCTTCGCGACCTCAATCAAATTCTTCCCCAAACCTTTCAGGTTAGGCACAATGTTGCACCGCCCTGGCTTTGCCAGTGAAATAGGTTGTGAAAATTGGAGGAGATAATGTAGTATCTAAGAGCTGAACAAATACTATTTCAATGCTAATTTCACTCCCACAGCAACTCTATGGGGCAGGTAATTTTATCTTTTTTCAGCAGAGAAGCTGAGGGACTTGCCCCAAGGCAGAGAGGTATGACGGGTGTGAATACAATGAATGAAAGACTATGTAAAATGAGTGAGCCCAGCCCCGGGCAGCCCCTCCCGCACATGCGCATGAGGCCCTCCACCGCCCCCCGCCCAGCCCCCCAGTCGGAGCATGCGCGGGCAGCTTGGCGCCAATTTTGGACCGCCAGTGCCTGAGCGAACCTCGCCCGTCCTCAAGCGGCGCGCGTTCGCGCCCTCCTCGGCTTCGGGATGATCGGCCAGAAGACTCTCCATTCCTTCTTCTCATCGAGCCCCGCCAGGAAGCGACGTGCCCGCAGCCCTGAGCCGACCGACCCGGAGACCGGCGTGGCGGCGGTCACTGAGGAGAGCGGGGATGCCGCGGTGAGACGCGCCGGGGACCTCTCGTGGGGTCGGAGACCAGGGGAGGAGAGGGGGAGGAAGGCGGAGGGCCTCGCGCGACGGAGGGGTTGCAGAAACGCACCGCTGACTGGGTAAACTGGGGCTCCGTGTTCAAACCAGCGTCCACACGTTCAAAACAGCCGCCACGGTGTCCCATCGGCGGCCATGCTGAAGGGCCAGCCAATGGGGAAAAGCCTCGGGCACCCACGGCGCCTATCACAAGTGAGGGGGCCGGTCTCTTCGGCCCGTCATCCAATCAGAGGAAGGAGGGGGCGGGACTCTGGGAGGAGGGTTTTTGCCGCGAAAAGGCCACGTGGGGACGTGAGTGTGGCGTATCCCGCGGGGAGGGGCACCTGCTTGCAGGGCCTCCCATCAAACCGCTCCTCTGCTCGCCTCGGTTTAGTACCGAACTCGAAATTTGGACCATCGGCCTGCCTAGTGCAGGATCGGGCTAAGGCCTGGGTTCCCAGAGTCCGGTTTTGCACCCGCCCCCCGGGTGGGGCTGAAACTCACGAATGGGTGTCCTCTTCAATGGGCCTTTGGGTTGGGGGCGCAAGCTGTGGGCGCCTGGGAGAGTCCCTCTGCAGCTCCTGACCCGCCTCTGCGGGGACCACTCGCAGGCCAACCCCCCCAAGAAGGCCCGCGCTGGGCAGGAGGAGCCCAGCATTCTGTCCTCGTCGCCGCTGAGCCCCGAGCAGTTGGTACGCATCCAGAGGAACAAGGCCGCCGCCCTGCTCAGACTCGCGGCGCGCAATGTGCCGGTGGGTTTCGGTGAGAGTTGGAAGAAGCACCTCAGCGGAGAGTTCGGGAAGCCGTATTTTATCAAGGTAAACGTGGAAGCTGCAGGCCCTTTGTCTTAGGATTGCAGGCCAAGGCCACGTGTATTGGATATTGCTTTTGTGGTCCATTTCCCCTCCTTCGATGTCCTTTTCACGCTAAAGGGGGTAAAAGAAAACCGTAGCATTTTGAATTCCGCACATGTATATTAAAGTTTTTAAAGACTGTAAGATGATCGCATGGCTTCTTTTAATCCTTTTAGTTAGTGTGCTTTCCAGGAAAGGGTGGCATAGTAAAACCACAAACTGGACTGTGTGAAACCTGGTTCCGCCTTTAAAAGAGAGAGGGAGGGGTCGGCATGGATGGCAATCAAAGCATCTAGGCCAATCAGCTTTGACCCAGCCCAAAGAAAGGGGGAGGGCATTGAAGAGATGGAGCGACTTTGGTGGGGTGCAAGTACTGTTGCTTTTCGTTGTTCTTCAAAAGAATTTAGATATGAAACATGACAAAGAGCGAGATCATGCTTCAGTTAGCTTTCTTATTGAATTCTTAACGCTTCCCAGTGAGAATCTGATTTTAAATCTGGTTTCCCTTTCAGCTAATGGGATTTGTTGCAGAAGAAAGAAGACATTACACAGTTTATCCACCCCCAGATCAAGTCTTCACATGGACCCAAATGTGTGACATAAGAGACGTAAGTACAAGTTGTGAATGAATTTTGGGAAAAGAAGCATGGGAATCAAATAGTATTTCTTAGTTAGGGACACTGGAATTAAGACATTGTCCATAATTCAGTAAATAAAATACTGAAATTGTGAGACTTGGCAGGCTCTATTTTCACCTATATTTATTTTTTTTAACTTTTACCACGTGGTGTTTATGCAGCAAAAAGAAAAGTGTGTTCAGAGGCTGTGTGCTTAATCCTGAAACCAACCCCGTGCCAGTGTTAGGTGCTATTGTTGTGTTGATAAGGAAACTGAGGCATGAAGCAATTAAGTCTTTCTCACCTGGTTATAGTCGGCCCCACCTTGACTTGTAGCCCAGTATTTTTTGTCTGACCACACTGTCTTTTATAGTTGATGCTTTCACACTTTTAACTCCTGGCCCGAAGAGTTTTGCTATCCTGTTAGTAAATCCCTTGGCTTTGGTTCATTGTATACAATGGCTGTTGTCTGGTGGCTCTGGTCCTGTCAGTCTCCTGTTCAGAAGCTTTTCAGTGGCTTCCTACTGTCAGAACTAGGAAAGCTGAACATGAATATGGCCACGTTCTACTTGCCAGCCTCCACCTCCCATTTTTCTGCTTCAGGGTTGGACAGTGTGGCAGCCCTCTCTTCACTTCTGGCTTTTGAAAACCAACTCGATCCATCTATGGCACCTCAACGAAGCCTGTTCCCCACAACCTTTGTGATCTGGTTTTCCTCTCAATCCCTCCAATATGGTTAATATCTGTTTACACTGGAGGTTTTACACTTTATTGTCCTTTTCCCTCATTTGCAAGCTGAGGGCAGGAATCCTTTGATTTAATAAATATCTAAATGGAAGTGGAATAGGTGAATAAACCATCTTGCTAAGGCTGCTACACCTAATACTTATTAGCAAGCTTCACAATTTTCAGTTTAGAGCAGGGACTTTGAATTTAAGTCCTTATTTTTGAAGTTAAAAACTAAGTCCTTTTAAAGTTAGTAGTGCTTTGTGCCTTGTTTGAATAGTATGCTTTATTTTGAATACCAATGATCAATATAAATAGGGAAGAATAAAAAAAGAGAGCATGAAACTTCTGAGGATCAGATGGCCCAGGGCTTCTTTATAAAGGAGCCCATGGAGGGTCTGGGAGGTTATTTGGCTGCTCCAAGGCCATCCCTTATCCAGAACCAGAACTGGAAAGCTTCCCTGCTGGGACAGGTTGCTTCAGAAGGGAGATACGCAGGGGACAATGTGAGCACCAGCAGTAGGAACAGAGAGGTCCACAAAAGCTTTCTGATCATGGAAACATCTAAAGCTGGACTTGGAAGGATAAAGTATATGTCAGCTATGGAAGATTCTAAGGAGCACCATGGGCAGAAGCATGAAAATGAAGAGGTTGGTGGTCTCCAGATCAAAAGGACTATTTAAACAGTGTCCCTGAGAGAGACCTAATTACTTTTCATTGCATCTTGCCACCTACTCCCATTGCCCTTTGACCAAACCTCATTCTCCGGGTTTCATTCCTTAGAGAATATAGGGGAACAGGCACCTTCATATTGCTGCTGGTGGTAAATTCTAATGCCTTCAACTCATTGGAAAGCAATTTGGCATGTGTCTGAAAATTTAAAATACACTTATCTTTTGGCCCGGAACTCCACTATTACAAATAGTCCATAGAAATAAAAGCAATAGCATGTAGGTATATATGTATTAGGATGTGTATTGCATTATTTTTTGTAATGGAAAAAATTGGGGAACAAGCTGATGCCCATCAGTGATTGAACGATCCAAAATGTGTGATGTAAGAAACACAAAAATGTAATGAGTGCAATAACTCCAATTCTAAAGGTAATTAAAAATGGTTGCATTGGGATGGGATATGGATGACCAGGAGATGACTAACCACTTTGTTTCTGGATGGTTGTACTTGTTTCAAGGGTGTCTTTACTTTCATCATTTGAAAAATGAAGGGGATGGAAGCAAAGTTGACCCCAACTTGTTTCTCAACTACCTGTGTCCGAAGGGAGGGGGCAGTGTGGCACGGCGATTGAGTGAATGATAATTGGGTAATGAAAAGAAATGGTGCCAGGGTACCTACTTTCTTTCTTGGGTTTCTAGTTGGGTCAGGAGAGGGGCTGCCCTTATCACCATGTCCCTGTGTATAGTTAGCCAGGTGTTCATTTAAACTGCCTGCACTACAATATTTAGTTTCTTGCCACCTGGTATTCACAGGTAAAGGTTGTCATCCTAGGACAAGATCCGTATCATGGACCCAATCAAGCTCATGGGCTCTGCTTTAGTGTTCAGAAACCTGTTCCACCTCCACCCAGGTAAGATGGCTTTATGGATGGGTCAGGTCCAATCACAATTACTCACACTCAGATGTGTACTTTGCAAATTATAGATATGCCTATTTGGGGATCTTGGTCTTTGTGGGGGAGAGGGTTGGTCCTGGGCACTGTAGAATGTTTAGCAGCACCTGGCCTCTACCCACTAGATGCCAGCACCACTGCCACCCCAGAACTAAAGAGTTCTAATAAAACAACAATGAAAAATGTCATCAGACATTGCCAGAGTCCCCTGTGAGACAAAAATCTGCATCAGTTGGGAGGGGGCTGTAACTCCTGGGCTGATTTACTTAGGTCTTTCAAAGTCCTGTTCCTTAAACCAAAGCACAGATCAAAATGAAGGTCTTTGGCAGGGTTACCTGTCAAAAGGAATGGTAGTCTTTCCTCATGAATGAGTACGGTTTGTTGCATCGTCCTCCAGGGGCTGCTTTACACGTTGTAATTCACATGTAGGGGGTTACTGAACTTGCAGAATGGTGCTTAAGATCCTGTTTTTTTCTTTCCGGTTTGCTTTCAGCTTGGAAAACATTTATAAAGAGCTGTCTACAGACATAGATGGTTTTGTTCATCCTGGTCACGGAGATTTAACTGGGTGGGCCAAGCAAGGTAAACCAACCACTACCAGCTATGTCTTAGGCAGATTTCAACAGTTTTCAGTCCACTTGCTTATGTTTGTAAAAGATATCAATGAAGAACAAGAGAGTTCTAACAAAATAGCTAAACTTACATAAGTCAAAAAACGTATCTCCGTTTTATCCTGCAGCCAATGTTTTCTTTCATGCTTTAATCGTAATTTGAAATAGATAAGCGTGTTCCTCATTATTAGTATTTTACATTTATCCACTTAACCTAATTTTGGCATCAGAAGGTGGCCTCACTTTTGTCATTTCAACATAGGTTGCGTTATATTTGTCTTAATACCTATCTACGGACTTTTTTCTTTCTTTTTTAACAAACTATAACCGGGATAAGGAAAGAATATTTACTCTTTGGTTTCTTGTGGTTAGATTTTTGTTTTGGTGAAACACTTCCTTTTGTTATTTTCTGGGGTTATTTAATATCACTCAGGTTATTTTTTAACAATTCTTTCTGATGAGGGATATATAATTCATGTTCACTGTCATGAACTCGGAAGGCGTTGAAAGTGCAGAGGTGAAAGTTGAATGCCCTCTGATCTCGCCCAGAGATACCCAGCAGTCTGTTGTAATGCTTTCTCTATGACCGAATTTCAGATGGCAGTTCTGGATTCCATCATGAGAGTGGTTTCATCATGTGTTTAGCCCCTGTTGTTGGGTGTTAGGCTGATGTATTTCCACCTACCTTTAACCTTTTTCTTTGGTGTGTGTTCATAGGTGTTCTCCTACTCAATGCTGTCCTCACAGTCCGGGCACATCAGGCCAATTCTCATAAGGAGAAAGGTTGGGAGCAGTTTACCGATGCGGTTGTATCCTGGCTAAATCAGAACTCAAAAGGCCTTGTCTTCTTGCTCTGGGGTTCTTATGCTCAGAAGAAGGGTAGTGCCATCGATAGGGTATGTTGTTCTTAACAGTTTAAATCAGGTTAGAAAAAATTCTAGGAATCCTTCCAATGTGGTCCTGGAAAACCCACATCATAAAAATGAAGCTTGTTTTCCCTTAAGACTGTTAAAAATTATGGTTGGGTTTCTCATTGAAAGTAGAACAAAATTTAGACAAATTATAGGAATGATTAATGATGTTAGGACAGCAACTGGCCAACTTCTGATTTAATACAGTTAGTAATACAGGCATAAACACAGAAAGGGACACTGGTCCCCAAGCTCCATTCATTTAACAACTGATGCAATACTTGACAGATGAGGTAAGTTTCTTCCAAGAAGTTTATATATAGAAACATGAAGTATCTCACTTAATCACAAATTTAACTTCCCACATAAAAATACTATTGGTGATTGATAATCATTGCACCTGAGCCCTGATTGCCGATACCCTACACCACTAAACAGTTCTTTCATCATGCGTTTTCCCCCAACTTGTTCCTTCTCCATATACCTACTGAAGCGCTTACGTACCTGGTTACTGAGCTTGACAACCAGAAGTCCTCCTCCATCTTCTCCTTTCCTTCATCCCCTTAAATGTAGTCCGTCAGAATCCTGTCAGATGCCTCCTAAAAATGTCCCATTCCCACTGCTGCCACTCGGGTGAGCCACCATCACGTCTCTTCAGGATAACTGACAGTCTGGAGATGACGGTGGTTTCATGGGAAATGCAGAGTGGAGTGGGGAGATCTGGGATGGGAGAGGAGTTAAGAACAAGTGTTGAGCTTGGGCAACTGAGAGACTTAGGAAGTAAGGGTGGGGGAGAAATTGTGAGCACTTTCAAGTGCAAGTAAAGAGATGAACTGAAGTGACCCAACAGTAGTTTCTGGTGTGTCAGAAATGTGCAAATACATCAACCCTCTACCCTGCGTCAGGTACCAAGTCAAGCACTGTTCATGCAGAATCTCACTACTTTGGAAAAGGCTATGAGGGTAGGCGTACACTGGCCCAATTTTGTACTGGGGCTCAGAGAGGTGAAGTCACTTGCCCAAAGTTACATGAGTGGTGGAGCCGAGATTAGACCTGCTCCAGAGCTTCGGGCTTTCTACGCAGCCTGCCCTCCTGGGTGGCTGTGGGCCCTGTGAAGTTCTCACGGGAGTGTTAGGATTCTAAACCAGTGATCGAGTTCAAGTTTAATGGCTTTACTCACATGCCAATTTTCTCTTAAATTGAGTTTCATTTTGTAATTTAGGGTTTTTTTGTTTGTTTTTAATTGGGGAACAGTGTGTTCCTCCAGGACCCATCAGCTCCAAGTCAAATAGTCATCCCCAATCTATTGGATTGTGGAGGGTGCAGCTACTTGGCTCATGTGGGAATCGAACCAGCAACCCTGGTGCCATGAGGCTGTGCTCTAACCACCTGAGCTAACCAGCCACCCCTGTAATTTTTTAAAGATAGATTCACATGATTAGAAATAAAAAAGGATATTAAGATGTATAGTGAAAAGTCTCCCATCCAAGTCCTACCTGTTCAGTTTTCTCCTGGGCTTGAGTAAGCAATGGCTTTTAGTTTCTGCTATCTCCTTCCAGTATTTTTTAAATGCATACATATATGTGTGTCTGTGTATACTGGGAGTGCCAAAAGAATGTATACACATGACTTGTTATTTTTTGTTATTGGTATATATTGAATATTACAATTTTAATAGTTTTTTTTCCTTTCTTAAAATGTGTGTACTTTTTTTGGCACAAGCAAATAGCAGTGTGTAAGATTAAAAGGCTTCTTTCCCGGGCCGGCCGAGTGGCGCGATGGTTAAGAACTGGCTTGGGACGCCAGAGGGCCCCGGTTCGGATCCCACATATGAGGGCCAGTGACACTGCCCTCTACAGCTAAGATGCTGAACAACAGCTCAACCTGAAGCTGGGTTGCCTTGAGTCGCCAGGCGACGGCGTAGGCTACAGCCCCTGTGGCAGTGGGTTGCCATGGGCTACCGTATGTAGCCAGCAGCCAGCGTGAGCAGCCAGCAGCCAGCGTGAGCGGCCAGCAGCTGCAGTGAGCGGCCGTCCAGAAGCCGGCGACTGATCTGCCTCGCCCGGGAAGAGCACAATGATGGTGCCAACTTGGGCCAGTGAAGCAATGTCCTCCACAACTAGACTGAAGAACAAAACAACAGCAACTTGTCTGTTCCCCTTCCCCCAATTCCCCAGCACTGTTCCCATCCCCCCAATTCCCCAATAAAAATCTTTAAAAAAAAAAAAAAAAGGCTTCTTTCCCTATAAAGTTTCTGTGTGAGTGAACAAGATATTTTCAGGTATTTTTTTTTAAAGATTTTTATTGGGGGGATGGGAACAGTGCTGGGGAATTAGGGAAAGGGGAACAGACAAGTTGCTGTCATTTTGTTCTTCAGTCTAGTGGAGGACGTTGCTTCACTGGCCCAAGTTGGCACCATCATTGCGCTCTTCTCTGGCGAGGCAGATCAGTCGCCGGCTTCTGGACGGCCGCTCACTGCGGCTGCCGGCCGCTCACGCTGGCTGCTGGCTACACACGGTAGCCCATGGCAATCCACTGCCACAAGGACTGCAGCCCACGCCGTCGCCGGCGACTCATGGCAGCCCAGCTCCAGGTCGAGCTGTTGTTCAGCATCTTAGCTGTAGAGGGCAGTGTCACTGGCCCTCATATGTGGGATCCGAACCGGGGCCCTCTGGCATCCCAAGCGAGTTCTTAACCATCGCGCCACTCGGCCGGCCCTCAGGTATTTTTTTAAGGAAGGGAATAGTAGGAATAAAATCTGGCATGAATGAACTAACTGCTAATATCTGGCTATCTAGGTTAAGTAAGAAGTACACATGAGTGATTTCAGTCTCTCTTAGGGAGGTTTATGGTCTGGGTAGCTCCTAGTATATTTGTCATCTTTATTGTCAAGCATGGTTTGGTTTGAAAGTAAACAGTTCAAGTAGCTCGATCATTAAAACCAAGTAGTGCATCCAACCCAGTGTCTTCGTGAGCAGTAGACCTAAATATCCAGCTGCCTCCTTATTGGTGGCCCAAAGCACATCAAATTCAACATTGTCCAAGAACAATTGTCCTTTCCTCGTCCATCCCTTATAAACTTGCTCCTCCTCTGTATTACCCAATGGTTAAAAAAGTACCACTGTCTACCCAGCTGTCCAACCAGAAATTGGATATCATGCATGACACCCCTACCTTTCCCTCCACCTCCTTTCCCCATCCCCACTTATATCCTGTTCGTCATTCCTAGGCTTGATTCTCTTTCCTGTGTCAGACCCATCCCACCTGACCACCTTTGCCCTGGTTCAGTCCCTCTGATCTTGCCTGGAGCGGTCAGATGCCTTCCCCCTGGAAGGCCTTGACTTAGGCTGACGAGGCGTCTTGGGTGTACCTCTGCTCTGCCTCGGCCACAGCTCCCCTCTTTTGACTCAACTCCAGGCTGACTGAACCACCCAGGTTTCTTCCCTGTGCCCCACTTCCCTGGCTTCCTTTGTCCTCAGTGTGGAGGTCTTTGCCTTCCCCAGAGGCTGACTAACATCCTTCAAAGCTCAGCACAGCTCATGTTCTCGGGGGCCTGTGCCACATGCCAGGTCCTCTGCAGCCTCAGAGCCTAACAAAGGTAGTTGCTCTATAAATGAATGAATGCACTGATCTAGTATGACTGCTGACGGCAAATAATACACTTTGGAAAGTGGGATAATTTAGAGGGCCAAGGGAAGAGCACAGCTGTCTTCAGGTGCAACAGCCATACAGTCCAGATGTGTCACCTTTTGGTCATTCTCTTGCTGTCTTTCAGAAGCGCCACCACGTGCTGCAGACCGCGCATCCCTCCCCACTGTCTGTGTACAGAGGGTTCTTCGGTTGCAGACATTTCTCTAAAACCAACGAGCTGCTGCAGAAGTCCGGCAAGGAGCCCATCAACTGGAAGGATCTGTGACCCTGAACTGGGGCAGGATCTCCAGGCAGCTTTTTAGAAGCTTCTATTAAAGTATTTGTCAGTTACAAAATCTAATTGAAAAAATAATCTCCCTGTTGATTTTAAAGCAGTCGTGAGCCAGGCTGCCCAGGAGTGGCAGCTTTGTTTATCCAGCCAGACAGGCAAAGTTAGCCCTGCAACCACAAGGCTGCCTTTGCAACAGGGCTTGAAAGGGAGAAGAGGTCGAATATTTTAGGCTCCTCCCTTCTGTTACCTTTGTGGTTAAAGGGGGAGATAGGCACCTTTTTGGTACAGCCAGCTGCTACTCGTTTTTTACCTGGTAGGTTAGACTTAGGTTATAAGGTGTTGGGAGTTTTTATGTAGAAAGTCCCCCTTTGCCCAGTCTGGTGTTGGGTCTCAGCCAGGTCCACTGACTTCCTCTTTGATCCTTCACAGAACCCCCAGGCCCTCCTTGAAGGAAATAATGTGGATGTTTTCTGCAAGTTTCCAGAAATTAGGGATCAATTTCCTGATTGAAGTAGAGGTGAAAATTCCTAAGGAACAGTCCTTGGTGCAAACCTTAAGGCATAGGCCAAGAGAAGTGGGCTGGGCCTTGTTTAAACTGCTGTTCTTGGGGTGTTTCTAGGCATGAGGGGAAAACGGTGTTTTGTTTTTTTAAGAGGAAATGCTTTTCTATTAGGTGTACCCTGAGTTGGCAGCATAGTTAGCCAAATGCTGTTTTTTATAGACTGACATCCCTTTGGGATATCTTTTTCTACAACATTGGAGAATTTTGCTCTTAAATGTTGATGCAAGTATATATGTATTTTTTTAATTCTTTGTTTAAGAGACAATCTTTATTAGGTCTGCACCTCCATTCTAGATCCTGTTAAGAGATGTTTTGCTGTCAGCGGGGTTAGAGTTAACCCTACTTGAGTTTGGTAATAAAAGGTTGTTGAAGTTTCGCTTTGTACCGAGTGTTCTTTATGCTTAGTGCCCTTCAGCAGTCCACTCCCCCGGGGGGGGGGTGAGGGGGGGCATCCGTGAACGCCTTTGAGCTGCCCTTGGGCCCTGGTAGCCATGGCAACTGTTGTGGGCAGGAAGGGCCGCCTCCGCACTGCCCTCTCGTTCCTCCGCCCCCTTCCCTCCGCCCGGATGGAGCCGCCCACCCCTCCGCCAGTCCTCGGTAAGCCCTGGGCCTCCGGGTTCCCGGGAGGGGCGCGAGCAGGACCCTGGTCTGGGTGTTCCGAGCCGGGACCCACCCCACCCGGGAGCTGCGCCCCGAGCCCAAGCGCAGTGGGGAGGGTGTAAGGGGTCAGGGTTTGCTGAGATCCTAAAGGGGCCGCTGCTGCTGGAAAACTGCGGGGATCTTGGCATGCCCGTCCGTCATGGCTGCGTGTCTTGCCAAGCCCTGGGACTGTGCAAGGGGACCTTCCCCACCCTCTGCTAGTGTTTCCAGACTCTTCCCTGGGACTCGAGTTGAAGTGTGAAGGCAGGGCGCTGGGAAGACGCCCGGGTGGCCCACTGACCTGCCAGCGCTTGGCTGGAGTAGCAGGGGTGGCCCATTAAGACGAAAGGCTGGACTCTCCTGGTATCCAATGAAGAAGGAAGTAAGAGATCAGGAGGGCTTGGTAGCACATGTGCCTGTATTTAAGCTGGCCAGAAAGAATGCCTCTGGTGAGGACACCTAGACCAGCACAGACTGACAAAAAAGCAGGGCGTCGGAAACCTTCCTTGCAGTTGAGAGGACTGCGTTCCCTCTGGGCCTTAGTTTTTTTGTGTTTGAAGAGGAGGGCTTGTGATCCCACACTCTGCCATGGCAAGCAGGCTTTCCCAGAGGAAGGCAGGACAAAGATGCATTCTTCATCTGCCCTCCCGTAACTTGGGGTCCTCCCCTCAGCATGACAATGGGCTCCCTTATCCAAGGGATAAACGAGGGGCTAATATTTCTGCATCAGATGGGTTTTGACACATCCAACCCAATGCAGGGCTGTGAGCCGTGAGGAAGCAGTAAGCTGGGTTACTATAAAGAATTCAACAAGTAAACTCATTATTTAAAAAATATTGAATCTTGAAAGAATGGTGACGCTTTAAAGAACACAGCATCTTAAAAGGTCTATAACTACCCACCCCCCGCCAAAAAAAGGACAAATTGACCATATTTCCCCATGTATAAGACGCACCCTTTTGCAAAAAATTTGGGGTCTAAAAACTGGGTGCGTCTTATACAGTGGTTGTAGATTTCAAATGCCATAGATGGAACTGAGGACGAGGCAATATATGAAGACGGTGATTCGTCATCAGACACAGATGAGGACAAGCTAATGGGAGTTTTGACAGTGATGAGTTGTATGCATTTTATGATGACTAAAACTTGAGTTCAATAACTTTATTTAATACATTTTTTTTTCAAATTTCGGGCCTCAAAATTAAGGTGTGTCTTATACATGGGGAAATACAGTAATCACTGATCCTTTAGGAACAAGGATCATTTTGATGAACTTTCATCTACGTAGTTGTCATTTCTTTTCACGTTTTTGGATTTGTTGCAATAATAGCACTGGGTTTGCCAAAATGAATAAAAGGCGATTGTGGCCCTTCAGATCAGGGTTCAGCATACTTTTTCTACTGTAAAGGGTCAGATGGTCCATCGTTCTGTCTATGGGAGCCACTCTGCGTTGTAGAGAAAGCAGCCACGGGCAAACATGTAGATGAACAGATGGAGCCAATAAAACTATGGACACTGAAGATGGAATTCAGTACGACTTGCACGTGTCATAACGCCTTTTTTTTTTTTTTTAAGCATTCCGCAAATGTAAAATCCACTCTTAGTTCGGGAGCCAATCAGGCAGCATGGGCCAGAGTTTGCAGATTCCTGTTCTAGGTGCTGCCACTCAGACGTCAGCAAGGAGCCCGGCTGTTGTGATCTCCCACTGTCAGGGCAGTTCTGTGTGGCTCGCTGTGGGAGCATGTTAAGAGCCTGGCCCCAAGTAATTCCCATTTCCTCCCTTCTCAGGCAAGGACAAGAGTATCTGCTGAGGGCTTTTGGAAACCCAGGAAGTCAGTATTGCAAAATGTTGTCCTGGGAACCCCACGTTATAAAATAATCACGTGACAGTCCTATCTGTGACCGGAGTCCAGTCGGGTAAGGTAGGGGGAATGTGAATTTTTTTTTATGCTTCCATTATCAGATAAGATAATACATTTTCTCCCTTTTAAAATTCACTTTCTGCTTCCGTTTGCACCTGGCACAAAAAGTCTTATTAGAGTTTTGGATTGGAGAAGCAAACTTTTTGGTGTGGCTGTGGCTTTTCATCCTTGTCAGACCTTGGAGATGTACAAGGTAGGGGGTCCAGGGCTACTTTGGAGGGTCCTGGCATGTTGACGGATGAGGACTCAAACAGAAACACCAACCAGAGACAGCCTCTTTTCCTACTTAGAGTCTTTCTGATAACTTTCGATCTGGGTCTCACAACCTAAAGTTACCTTGTTTGATTATCTCCGTTGGAACCATTTTTTAAAAATTTTGAAGTATGTTTGGAAATGCAGATATTGGTGAGTGGGGCACAGCAGGAGGTCAATATGTTGCGTTCTTACAGTTGTGTATTTCTTGTGTTCTTCGGACCCTCTCAGTGGTCCCTGTGGTGACAGAGAGGGGGTCCAGGGGCTTCAAACAGTTAGGACCCCTCAAGCCTCACCATTTGGGGAAACTCAAAAAGATCAATGCCAGGCCCACTCCCAGAAATTCTGATTTAATTGGCCCTTATGGGGAAGAGGAGACAGAGGCGTTTTTTATAAAATGTCTGGTTTGCAGTAGGAATGGCAGCTTCCTTCTAGACGCCCTATTTCCTTAAGCCACGTGGTCACTTTGGTTTTTTTCCGGCAAACGACTTGATAGTTATGACTTGCTGAATCTAAGATGCGCTTGAAGAAATAGATTTTTCTACTAACGTTCTTGGGTTTGGTGGGAAAAGTTTATGAATAACTTTGGTTTTAAGTCTTCCATTTGGCTTCTAGAAAATACCTGTGCCTTAAAGAGAGAGAGGCAGGGGAGAGCTGAACCATCAGAAAGACTCCTTCATCTGTGTGTGTGGGTGGGTAGGGTGGGGGGGAGGGTGGAGAGGGGGTGTTTTCTAGTCCTTTTGAAAGTAAGGAATTGTATTAGAAAGATATTATTAAGTGCCTATTACGAGCAAGCCACTATGCTAGAAGCTCAATGTATGTTGTTATATTTAGTTTTTTCAACCATATGGTCAAGTAGTTCTATGAGGAAACTGGCTCGGTCATTTGCTCAAAGCTACAGGTAACGGAGCTAGGATTCGAACCCACATCAACCTGATTGCAAAACCCAACAGCCTTGCCACTCTTGACACTGCCCAGATCAGAATTATTTGGCATCATCGTGGAGAAATTTTAAATGGAGTTCAAGATTTTTTTCTTTGAGTTACAGATGGCTTTTTCAGGAAACACAGAAGGACATGTCTATAGTTTGAGAGGTGCTTCTTTGAAAGGATTGCATGAGCTTCTCTAGCGTGAAGTAGCCTTGATAAATAAGCTCACCACGATCATAGGGGCTGCCAACCAAGAACTTAAGGCATGTCGGCATTGTGCTAAGCCCTCAACCTGCATTATTTCATCCTCAACTCCTGTAAAAAGGAAGTGGCACCGTGGCAGGTGACAGCTGATGATCCTAAGGTTGCAGAGGACACAGGAGCAGGCAAGACACGGCACTTCCTACTTACAAGTCCAGCGGAGAAAATTCCAAGAAGTTCACTATTGGAGGACATTTCCTTCTTGGAAAACAAGCCCACAAATGTAGTAGCTTCTCCGGCAGGGTGAAGGCTGCACCTGGCATGGCCACCATTGAAACCGATTTTGCATTAGCTCAGCTCTCTGCAGGTTTTTCCACTTGCTGTTTAGTAAGACACATCCTGGTCTGCTGGAACACAAGGCCCTTTTGTGTGGCCTCTGCTTTCCTGCCGCCTGCTCTGTTGGGTCCTAGACGTGACCTTTGTCCCACATGCTGCCAGCCCTCCCCAGGTGGCGGAACATTCTGTTACGGTGGCAGCGTGTGCTGGCTTTCTCCTTCCAGCCTTAGCAACAGCCAGCAGACCTTGAATGGGAAGGGAGCTGTTTTGTTTTTGGTTTTGCCCAAGTCCTAAGAAGTGGGAAGCATTTCTTTAAGTGGCGTTTGCCTTGAGAGGGTTTTTACCAAATCTTTTCCGGGGAGGGAAGCCAGGGGATCTTTTTGATAAGGATCAAAGGAACCCATTCACTGGGGGTTTGTTCCAGAAGCCATTTCTCAAAACCACCACCACCAGCCTGGTATGTCCAGCTAATTTGCAGCATGTCCTAGGAGGGCCCACATGACTTTCTTTATATTGCCTATGACAACTTGGACTGTAGGTGCCTTGTGGCTTAGAGGTCTAAGAATTTTGAAATAAAGCAAGTTACAGGGTTGAAAGGTGGAAAACACCATACGAATGCTTTGGTGCTGGGTCTTTCCCCACTCACTCCGCCTGGGTTATTACCGCTGTCTGGTGCCTTGAAGGTTAAATGCGCCCAGGATATTTTTAAACAGCAGGGGCCAGTTAATCTAAAAGTGACGTTGACAGTCACTGGCAGGGAGCAGCTAGCCGGCTTAGTGCTAGGCCCTCAGCAAACAAGGAACCTGGAAAATGTAATCCCGAATGCACAGTTGAGAGGACCTGGGAAAAGAAAAGGTGGAAAGAAAATGGTAAGTGAGCTGACCCCTCCCTGAGGTCACGGACAGAAAGCCAGCGTCCCAAGAGACGGGGAATTCAGTGCCCAGTGCGTGCAGCCCCTGTCTGAGCAGCCTGTTTGCAGGGTTTCCAGGGGGACAGCAATTCCTGTTCTGTTTGCTGGGAAGCTGATCCTAATGGCTCAGCATGTAACACAGATGAAGGAGCAAGGTCTTTCTTTGCTTCTATAAATGGTCCTGTTTCTGGGAATCCCTGAGTAAACTTTGATCAGCTCCACACACCGGAATGGTTTAGTTTTTAGGTTTGCCTAGAAGGCAGTTCTGTGTTCTGTGTGTGGGGGGGTGGTAGAAGGGGGAAGTTTGCCCCCAAAACTTGTCTTAAAGGAATAGTATTCTGTTTCTCATAGATGTCCAGTCGCTCAAACTGTTGCTCTTTTTTTTTTTAAAGAAGCAAACTCGAGGAAAGCATTTATAATGGTCCTGTGTTGCTAGAAAGACACGATTTTCTTTAAATTTTATAAAGCATGTTACAAATTAAAGAAGCAGCACAGAGGAAAATGGGGTGTCTCCTGGCACCATCCTTCTGTCTGTCCCTCCTCCCGGAGGGAGCAGCTGTGCAGTTTGGTGTCAAACATCCCAGAGCTGGTTTCCCAGAGACCCCTGATTCTTTGCATTTACCTGGTACCTCTCTCACTGATCATTATTATTATTTTAACATAAACGGGCTTCCCCATAGGTAGGATGACGCACTGCCCAGATGTGCCCAGGACTGAGGGGAGTGCTCAGGAAGTGGGTCTTTCCATTTAAAAAACCGAAGGGAATAGATGTTCTATTGTAAATGTTTTCCTTCTAAGACTGTCTTGGAAGATTTTATTGTTGTTATTATTATTATTATTAATTATTATATTAGGCAACAGCCATGGTCATTGGTTACACATTACTTTCATGCTACAACGGCATAGTTGACTGACTCTTTTAGGGAGGGCGCAGCTCACAGTGGCCCATGTGGGGCTCAAACTGGCAACCTTGGTGTTATCAGCACCATGCTCTAACCAACTGAGCTGACCAGTTACCCCTTAGAAGATCTTTATGAGATGTGATGTCTTTTCTGACCTCTCCAAGTTTGAAATGGAAAGACCCAGCCAATTCTAAGCCAGGTGATCGGAGGTGCAAACACAACTAATGTCTGACTTTCTTTGAGGAGTCGGGAAGGGCATTTTATGTTTATGCAAAGGAGTTTATTTGCTTCTGTTCAGGTGTTGTGTAAACTCCCTCCTACTTTGATCACCTCTAGATCTGAGATAGAAATGAGACTGACAATACCTGAGATACTCGATCTTTATGGGGAAATAACATTCTAACCTTTTGAAATGGAGATGTCCTCAAAATCTTACTCCTGTAGAAACGCTGGGATCCCTTATGCTAAAGCTTCTTTTGAATTTTGACTTAGGGATCCTTACTTCAGAGCAGAGTACACCTGCACCTGGGGAAGAAGCCTGGAAGCATGGTCAGAAATCTTGCTTTTTATCTGCAAACTTCATGTGCATTTCACGTTCTATTCTAGTAGACCTGTCTGTGTGTCATCACAGTAAACTCATTACCATAGCGTAAGATGGTGCTCCAAGAAGTTAGGCTGTGTTCCTTTATTCTAGGGATCCAGGACTCCTTGTACTGGACAGTCCAAGCGGGCACAGCAGGAAACCTGAGGTCTCAATTATTGAGAAGTTAGCACATCAGGTGTTTATACACTCCTCGTAAGACAGCCCTCGGGGCAGGTATTATTTTCTCCATTCCACAGACCAGGAAACCAAAGTTTGGAGAATTTCTGTTGTCGGGGCCTGTTAAGTCATGACACACCGGAGAGCCTCCACCCAGGTCAGCTTCACACTGCTCTCCATCTCCCTGGGCTCTAGCATACCTTAGTGCCCTCACCAGTGCTGGGGCCCCTGAAGACAGCCACACTCTTCAGGTAGCCCGGGGTTTTGTGCCACTCAGATTGGACTCGCTGAAGCTCTACCTTTTCAAATTAAATCATGGGTGAGAGTGACATTAAAGGGACAACCCTGAACATCCTGTCTATTTGGAAGTTAATAGGTCATGGGCTCTACTATAGTAACTAGAATGATTTGTTGTTGGAAATGGCCTCCCACCCTTTAGCAGACTTTCCCCACTCTGTTCTCTGTGGCTTATTGCCACACTCCCAGCAAAGTGGGGCAGCTGGGGTCCTCCTGTTTGGAGTGCTAACGCACGCAAGGTAGGGAAGGGGCCCTGGTTCCAAGCAGTTTGAGATACATTGCACTGCCTGTGGACACTCTCCCTCCATCTTCCCGCCCGGGCACCTTTACCTGGCTAAACCCACATTCCTTCCTGTCTCAGCATAAGCATCTTGCTCTGGGAAAGCCTTTGCTCACCTTGCAAACCAA